AATGTTAACCATGCGTGCAACACACAAATTAATTTGATGCAGGTAGAATTATTGCTTACAAAAGGACAACGAGATCACAGTGAGAGCGAGAGAGCCAAAAAAACTTGTTGTTGTCCCTGAAAACATGTTCCATGTAACTATGGTATTTGTAACAATGGATACAATGGTAGAAAGAAATGAACACTATTTAAGGAGCAAAATCACGTGACTCTTTCGCTGTAAATTAAATCTTGGCTGCCATTCACGTATAACGTTTACTTCGGACATATGTATAATATTTTTGCATGATTGTGTGTGGCTTGTGTTTGACAGTTGGTTAGTTAGCGTTGCGTAATTATTTCTACAGTTTTCTAGAATGCAGAAGATAGCATTCCCAAGGCTTTCATGTCGAGTAACTGAAAACAAGTTACATTTATACGTTTAGAGGGATAACAAAAAAGAATTCTTGATATCTCAATCTTCATTTCACTTCACTTCATTGACGTTGCATTATTGATACGCCACCACACAGAGGTGAGGTATTTGTGTATTCTACTTTTATAAACTATATATACACTAATATTAGAGCCAATGATAGTTTTTGATGATAAAATACTTAACAAAACAAAATTGATTGTGTTTATTCAGCTATCCTGTGATATATTTAGTGTTGATGTCAGTAATCACGGTTGTTTGGTGTATTGATGCAAGTGCTACAATAACGCGTACAGATCGTTATGATTTAATCACTTCTATGTTTAAAACTGGACTTCTTGCAAAATTAAATATATAACACTGACCACTTTAGATTTCAAACGTTTACAGAAATTTCCCGCTGTATTTAGGAATTCGTGAAATACATTCATAGTTAAACATATATATGTGTTTGATGATACTAGTAATCCGGACTTTCAGAAGTTAAAATGAGTTTCGTTTCGTTTGAACTATTGCAAAGTTCATCGAGAACCTTGAACTCTGAACGGGATATTCACTATCGATGACAGTTGCTATGACGTTGTTTTTTTTTAGTTTACTGAGAAACTCATCACAAATCAATGTCATTTACTTGAACATGACAGCAGTATTCAGTGAAGCGTTTCCGAATGATTAGTATGCACGTTGTGAACATCTTGAAAAGTCTACCTATGTTTGGTCAAAAATCGTATGAACTTTTTGGCGTTTAGCTCAAATTTTGCAAATGTTAATCATGCGTGCAGCACAGAAATTAATCCGATGTAGGTAGAGTGTGTAAATTAAAAGCGAGGCATTTTTTTTAAACATAACTGTTCTGAAAGCTGATTGTCATACATAGTAATAACACTACGATAAGGACTTTCCGTTTTTGACATTATGACATTCTTTCGTTTTTTGGATAAACAAACCCTGAAAAAAAACTGATTTTTACACTATAATTCAGAAATTTATCTTAAGAATAATTCATAACAATATATATTCCCTATACACCCATAAATATTTTTTTATAACTACCGATTACATAAGATTATTACAGAAAAATGATAATTCGCTATATTCTCAGTATTTGGCCTTTTATAGTTTATCCTGAATTATAACTGTGAAGCTGAATGAAATTACAATCTGTGTAGGGTGTGTTCAACAACTCTATGTATGAACAATATGATTATTACTTTCTTGGTAAAAATACTGTATTTTTCTGCATGAAAACGAAAGAATCTTTATTGCGGTGTTGTAAAAAGTATCATTGTCGTTGGTGGCGCATTTCCCCCGAAGTGGTGATCATTTCCAAATTAGGAGAAATTCTTATTATAATTACAGTAATTTATTTTTAATTAATCCCTTAACATATTTTATAGGCATGGTTAAATATTGAAAGAATAACATCCAATCAACAAAATGTTCCCCTATATTTTCCTGTGTGAAAAAATGAAAGTGATTTTGCTACACATACACACGTGAAATTTGTTGTTGTCCTGTAAACTTATAAATAAAATCAAGAGGATTTTAAGATCCTGGATGTAAAATATTGTTATATAACTTACTAACATTTGAAAGCAGAGAGGTGTAACCGGACCAATATTTTTATTGCACAAATCAAACGCTCGAAAACATACATACATCATATAAGTACATTATTTTCTTGCGATTGTGCTTGACTCATGTTTGTCGGTTGGTGGCGCTGTTTATTGATATTCCAACAAAAATGAATCATACGGTTCTCTTGCCATTAAATATTTGCCGCTGTGCTTATTGTGATAGAGTTAAGTGATTATTTTTACTGTTTTCAATTTCAACTAAACAACAAATTAATTGAATATGATCTTAAGGATAAATATGTTCTGGTCTTGATGTATCGTTCTTCGTTTCACTTCACTTCACTTACTGTATCGTTGCACGCATTAATACGCCCCTACACCCAAATTACTTGCAGAATTTAACATGACTTCATTTTCGTTTGAACTATTGCAATGTATATTGGGCTCCTTGCACATTGTATGGGCCATTTACAATTAAGGAATGTTCGATGAATGAAACGCACGAACCAATGTCAGTTAATGAACATAGCCATAAAAATCAGCGGAACGTTTTAGAATGTCACTTCGAAAATATTATACGTGCAACATATGCATTAATACGATGTAAGGTAGAGATATTGACGCAAAAGGTCGACAAGATTGCAACGATAGCTAGACAGACGCAAGACTTGTTGTTGACCCTCAAAAAGCTGTTTCACATTATACATTAGAAGTATTCACAGTGACGATAAAATATAAAAAGTTAATAAAATACGATGCAGTGTGTTAACTTATTTGTCACGTGTTGAGTGTTGATGTCAGTAATCACGGAGTATGGGCATAGTGATGCAAGACCACACGCATAGATCGTTATCATGATTTCATCACCACGTTGTTTCAAACTGGGTGTCCTGATTATCACTGCACGAAAGTTTACTACGGTTGATGTTAAGTATAACGGCGTGGCAGGTTGCACTTTTGAATTTACGAAATACATCCATATTTAAAATTTATCTATTTTTTATTTTTATTTTTTTTTATTTTTACAGGCTGGCATTGAATGGATTACTTGGTGTCTAGTATGCAGATGATAGCATGTCTGTGGAGTAACCAAGCAACAACTTACAAGTAGAAGATCAGCAGAATAAAAAGGTTCTTGTCTTGATGTGTCGTTCTTTGTATCACTTCACTACTTAACGTTGCTTGCATCAATCATAGACCTTAAAATACATGTATTCTAAGGTCTATGCACCAATGTGACAACGTGTGAGGGCGGTGTTGAAGCAGTTCCGTTTCATGTTAAAACACAGGGTCATTTGTACATTATTGTTCTGATTCCAAAGGTCTGCTTGCTGTTCGTCTCGTTGCTAGGTAACAGGTTGTAAATATCGTCGTTGATGCGGACGATAGTCAAGTTAGATTTGAACAATGACGTTACATTAATTTATATATGTATTTGTAGTAATTTACGCGAATCATTACTGGTAAGACTACATGCATTTAATGAACAGCCGCCATCTAACGTGAACACGAGAGATTCTTTATTTCGTTGTTGGCCGCGAGGCTGCTTCAAATACTTCACTTCCAAACAGATATATAGTTTCAACTGGGTGGTAGGACATGTCTGCATTTATTTATTTATTTATTTATTTATTTATTTATTTATTTATTTATTTATTTATTTATTTATTTATTTATTTATTTGTCTGTTTCTTTTCTGTTTATTTATGCTTATTACAGCAATGTGCACTCGCCAGCGTGCAGCGCACATCGTAGAGAGTAAATTTCGTTTCATACGCTGTATGGGTGGTTGATCTTAGTACCCGGATAAAGATATTACGGTCACATTTGTGATATGTTAGGTAACTGCTTGATACGTCATTTAGCAGTCATGTCACGTGTTTATAATACATATAATGTTATTTTATTATATACATAAATAAAAGTATACGAAGATTAGTTGTCGCGGTTTCTCGAAATTACGAAAGGGTTACGATCGCGCCATGTCGTGCTCAATATGGGTGCCATAGCGACGTAAACAAAGCATGTAAATGTATTTTTTTACAGGGAATTTAAACGCGCGATGGCTGCAGTCTTTCGTACAATCTAGTGTTGAAGAATAACATGGCATTGTTGTGCGTGATATAAGTCGAATGGTTACCGATTGAAACCAGGCTTTCCTGGTTTAGATGATGAATATACTGCCATTTTTAGAATCACTGATCAACTTGGAGTGGATCCGTTTAGCAGCCCACTCCCTCGTACACACACACACACAAACGCTCGCACGAACAGACGAACCGGATCGGGTGATTCATGTATTTGATAATATAATAGAACTCAATATTTCAAATTCGGCATACCACGTGACACATCGTGACACACTCTATTGATGTACAATACCACATTCGTGGGCATTCCACATACACGACATCTTGTGACGTCATGGTATATAATGATCCGCTCTTCTGAGCATGCGCGGCTAGAACATTAAATATGAAATTCTAAAAATACAAATAATGTGTTTCCCATCAGGTATGGAAAAATGGAGAGGGTAAACACTACACACCATGTCTTAGTTTTAAAAAAATGCATGCGACGATAAATACAATTAAATTCACATTATGATATGATAAAAAAATTGCACATATAAGAGTTATGTCAGGATCCACGCCTACCAGAAATACACACAAAGGCCTAGGGTTTGTTTTGTGACACCAAATCAGAAATACTTAGAAACAATAGTATTTAAAAAAATCAAATCGATGAGCATGTTTAAACACGTAAGAATAATGGGCCATTATTTTAACGTCATGAGATCTCCCTAGTAACGACCTTCCCATTGCAGCGTAGTAGTAGTCTGCTCATTGACATTAAACGCCCATGAAATGAACATTATGAATTTAGATTCCGTTCTTAAAGTCTATACAGTTCAAGTAGCATTACCTGCCGCCATGCAATAAAGGGTCGTGCGAGGTCAACGCCGTACACGTTGCGCGCGCATCTGTCTGTCGTGCCCCTAGCAACCGATGAACTTTGGTGTCTGACAAGAAGCAAAACGCATTGAAACAGACAGACTGCGTTCACTCCGTAGCTCAGCGTTCATCTGTAGATGTCTGATTGGACTTGTAGGAAACAGGCGAAACTGACATAAAATTAAACGGGATTTTTAACGTGTGAAAAACCGTGTACCGAGGTAAGTGACGTGTTTATAGTCGCCGTCACCGCTAGTGCAGCGGCGACGTTAAAACTAAACCCGGAAGGAAACGTTCTCAGACCTACTTTATTTTCGATTATTTCTTGTCCGTTTCTAGTTAAAAGTTATAGTTTATTCCTATTACATGTCAGTAGCGGTTCAAATTACGTAGTAACATCGGTCGGTGTGTATTGATGTCAGGTTCTTTTTATAACCATACACGTGTTGTTTCTTTCAATTGTCGTACTTTACGTGTAACTACTGGACATGGTCTATTTGCATTTCAAAACAGCGTGGTTGTGCCAATGTCTGCGAGTCGGCACAATCGAAACAAATGAATCGGTAATTTAAATGTAGATCAATCGATCGATATCATGATGAGGTATCAACGGTGGCCATTAATGAAATGAGCCCGTGAACTATAATCTAAGTATTTGTCATGGCAACCATATTGGCTCGTCGCAGTGTAACTTAGAATTGAAGTTTGGATTGTATTTTATTAAATCACGAATACCAGTCTTCAAATTAGTACATTATTAACAGTATTGGCAATTGTTTGGGTTCGGGAGCACCTTATAACACGCCCCAGTACTCCCGAGCTTAAGAATGCCAACATACAGTTTAGAATAATGGTATAGCCAACAAAAGACGGCATTCCATTCGCCGGGATGCGGAGTGAATCATTCGACAGTCTTCTTCAATCCACAGTCATTATATTATCGGATATTTTATTCGGGTCGTCGGCCAGATAACGCCTATTGTCAAAATTGAAGATTTCCTTCATAATTCGACTAAAATGTTCAATACACGCTAGAACGATAAAAGTATATGGTATTTGTTCGGACTGATCCCGGCGGTGTTTGTGAAATAACTGTGATTGCTACGCAATAACGTATCTAGTGATGTATTCGTGACAACAAACGAGTCAAAACAAACAAAAGGCCACGAATTCACACTCGTCCTACTCAAGAAGTTGAAGGATAATCAGTCTAACTGTAAGTGTCCGAGGGGAGGGGGCATTGTTATGACATTGTCCACGTTGCCCGGTAGCTTACTATTCGGGACAAGTACATCGAACGAAACATGGAGCTAAAAGACACCCGACGAAATGCAATGAATGATTAATATCACTCTGAGTATGCCGGGCCTGAATTTATTCACGGTTACTTCTTGTAACCGTGGTTTATTGAGATAACCCGCTCATGGCGTCGCTTCCATTCTAGTAACTAGGTCGGTGTGTATTATTTAAATACAATTGATAAGGCTACTCTAGTTGTCTTTTTACCATTCAATTAATCCAACATGGGTAAAATCATAAGTCAAATATTCTCTACCTCGTCGTGGTACAATAGTTTGGAGTCGAGCCGCGTGACTGAAAAGGCAGCTGTTCGCGTTGGTTGTTAAGATACCACTAAATAAAATGATCAATAAATGCAAATATACACATATATTGTATATATATGATATGTACCACATCTCAACCCTTTCCAATTAACTACCACTCAGATAATAGAGCATATTAAATACATGCCACAGTGCCATGGCAAATTTAAATCCATAAACGATAAAACGATACGACCATGTTTACTTGAATTAAATAGACGAATAAATCACCGTACCTAGCAATGGAAATAACAGAACTACATTCAAATACTGCCGTTGCTATGGATACCAAATAACACAATGATTACGAGTCTCTATATTGCGCAGGGAGATTACGTTTTATGTGTACATTCATTACACGGCGATAATATATAATACATACCTTTGCCAGTCGATATGTGTGTCTCGAAGACTACTACTCTAGTATACTGAGAACGTCATCATTGCAGACGAACTGCAATACTCAGATTTAAACATGCATTTATTGTGTTTTTGGCGGGAGGGGTCAATCATTTTTTTTCGCATACACTCAATAATGATTCGACCACAACGGTGTGTATATTGCGTTTCTCACTGTATTCGTTTCATTATAATATTTATAATTCAAACGTGTTCATTTTGTGTGTGTGTGTTCAGTTTTCTCTCCAATATATCCTTATATCAGTCTAGTGATTCTATTTCTGGAATTCACTCATAAGAGTAATGACCTGATTTTCATATGAATACATGGTACATTTTTTGTCGATTCATTATAAATATAAGCAATGGAACCCTACCACTTATGTATAGTGAAGCGAAGTGCGAGTAGATGCAATGGTGTTATAATATTCAAGAATCGGCGGGTTGGACAACTGAAGTTCAAGTTAGTTCAACGCGATCTACCAGTCTGACTGTATCCCTATATACCTATTGGGTATTCTGCACGACTCGGCGACAGTAAACAACACATTCAATATCTACAAAGCCGCATTCATCACTCGAACACAATCGATCTATTTAGCTCTCGGCTTGGAAGTCGCATCACGATTATAAGGGGTCATTTGTCCTTGCAAAAAACACATTCTAATGAAATATACTCGATATGTATATATATAAAACTGTGCGTCGAATTTCAATAGGGATCTTGAATAGGCAACGACAAGATAAAAATAACCTTCAATAAGCTTTACAATTCATGCATAATAATAGTGTTGCCATGACAACGGTATGTTTTTCTATGACGTATTTAGGACGCGGATTATGTAATTACCAATTCTAAATGCCAGTCTATTACGTGAATGATAAAAAATGTAGCTTTTCGAAAGAATGATTATGGAGATTGTGCAAAACGCGTACAAACATTGCATTTCATAGTACGTGATTTCCATGTGTTTTTCCTCAGAAATACTCGCGTTTCCTATATATATATATTCATCCAAGGAATTCTGAATCGATCTGAATAAGACAGTGATATATGCATTAAAATTAATAAAGACCTTGAAATTGTCATTTGATTGGTTTTAGTAGTCCCCTTGAAAGAGGGAAATTATATATGTATAACACTGAATGAATATGTAATAAAGAGAATACAATCTGTAAAGCAATTAAAAAGGCATGATCTTAGTAATCATAATTAAATTAATTTGTATGCATAAATAAAGATTCAATAAAGAAAACTAAATATAATAAGTATATTCACAATTGGCAGTGAACTTGACGGCCACATCGCCAGATTGTTGGACGTTAAGTACACTATAACACGCGTACTCGTGATTAGAATGTTAGCTTATACGTAACTT